GTAGATTCTCCCCTAGAGCCCCCAGAACAGCATGGCCCTACTGACACCTTAATTTTCTTCAAGTAATACTGATTTCAGGCTCCTGGCTGCCAATACTGTGAAAGAATAAATTTCTATTGTTTTCAATCAAGAAGTTTGTGATAATTTGTTACAGCAGCTATAGGAAACTAACACAGTGGGTTAGAGAACACACAGTTCGTGATGGAAAACTCAGGCCGCATGGCCACCCATGCCTTACAGTTAGTTGTGCAGTCTCCCCCAGGGCCCAGGAACATTCTAGACGCTTCAAAAGAAGAATATACTTCCACTAAAGCGGGAATATATTTGTTCCAATGTCTTAGAGATCTGTGCTGTAATACTACTGGAGCTTGTCAGAAGCACCAGGCAGCATCCCTACTTGCCACAGATATTATGAGAATCACTGAATATGTAGAATTACAAAGCCCTATCAACAGAGAATCTTGTACTGTCACCTGAACTTGTTGCAGAGCCTTCTCTTTGTTCACCATTTGAAAAGGGCAGACTTATAGGTGATATATCTAGTTTGCTTGAAGTAGTACACTCCTACGTGATATACGTTGCCCCCAACACCCAAAAGAGCCTGCCAAACATGGTGTCTCTTCTTTCATGGTAGGTGGTAAGAGATGCAGTAATCTGTCATTCTCCTTGCAGAAAATATTTGTACATGCTTCAGACCTTTAAATCATCAGAAGCTTCAACATAGGGAGCCCAGAATTTTTGTGGGGTTTATCTCCCATCCTCTAGTTTGCACATAACTTACTCAGTTTCTTAAAGTACTATATCCTGCATATCTGATTCAATCAGTATCAAGTTGTAAATGTACTGGATATACATTTATATCCAGTTATAAATGTTATATAGAATGTTATGTTATATAGAATGCCAAGATAATGAAAATTTCTGTGAACTATTTTGTTATAGCAAGAGGCAGAAGAACTGACATATCCCTGAGGCAATACTGTGAGTATGTACTGTTGATGCTGTACACTAAAAGCAAATTGCTTTTGTTTAGTTTGTCCTTACAAATTAGTATGGACCAAAAACAAACAAGCAAAAATCATTAGCCAGGATGGTAGCTGTTTATCACGTACCAGGGACCATGCTGGTTTCTTCCAGCAAAGGTACATCTGGGATACCAGCCACAGTTGGTGTCATGCCTGATTATGTTTATGATGATGCACAGTCACTCTCCATGATCCACCCTGCTCACAGGCCAAGCAGATTAGGGTTAAATGGCGATGTGACAGAAATGACCACCTTTACTTCTTTTAAGCCTTTTACAGTGACTCAATCTCTCTAATTCTCCCAGGAATGAAGTATTTCTTCCATTTTACTATCTTGGTAAGAAAGTTCTAGGTATTTCCACTCAGACTTTTCTACCATAAAGGAGATCACCCATGGGTCAGAGAGCTAACTGATGAATACTGTCAGTTGTCAAATATTCTATTTCAATTATACATTCAGGAATTCAGGAAATACATTGATCAACTAGGCCCACTATGAATCAGACTTAAGATTTCGTCTATCATCTGACTACTCTAAGCTTCTGTGCAAGAAAGAGTTAACATAGTAGGCCTCTTATTCTTTGCAAGTTTTGCTTAAAGTATTATCGCTTGGCTGGCATCTGGGAACTCAGATTTTGGTAGGGTTCTCACTATCCTAACTTGTAAGAGTGGTACACTGTGTCTAAACTGTTTGTACAAACAATATGGTTTAAACTAAACACGTGCTTTCCTCCAGGGAGTCTGGAGTTTTGATAGGTGCTAAGTGGAGAAGGACCTATATAACCATGCCACAATTAAAACCCCAGGCACTAAGTCTCTAAGCTTCTCTGGTAGACAATATTTCACAACTTATTGCTGGAGGAATTAATGTCTCATGTGAGTCCATTTGGGAGAAGACTCTTGGAGTCTTGTGCCTATTTTCCTTCAGATTTCACACCATGCAAATCACTTCGCTGATTTTTCTTTGTATCTTTTAACCATAATAAATCTTAGCCACAAGTATGACTATACGCTGAGTTCTATCTCCTCACGATTCATTGAATCTGAGAGGAATGGTCTCAGGGACTCCCAAAATAGCTCTACTTTGACTGGTGTGGCAAAGTGACATTTTGGGTCCCCAAGAATTAGTGTAAATTCAGAGCCAGAGTTTAGTAATGCCCCCAAAGAACTGGTTATTCCTTTTCTTCCCAATGCACAGTCACTCTGCTAAATGGCTGAAGGTCCCTTAGGGGAAAGCTAAAAGGAAGATTTATGGAATGTACTCATGTGAATGCCATAATATCCTTCCTCAAAGTTACCTGGACTCCCCTTGAATCAAGGGACTGTTTTTGAATTGAATTATGTCTAGTAATTGTGTAACAGGCTGTGATTCTTTTGTGGTAAGTCAAATTAGGTGCATTTGCAACAGACACCAGATGTAATATGTTAGCTTGTGCAGCTGGGGGCAGCTCTAACAGTTTACTCAGTTGGCTGAAATTTAGACCAACTAAATTTGTGGTACCAGATCTAGAGTTTATTCTGTTATGTAACTTAATCAATTCTCTGGTAGGCTTTCTGTTTATTTCATTCCTATGATACTATAGTCAATTAGCCATAGTCAAAGATCCCTGCAGGTCAAGGCATTCTGGTGACTGGTACATTCCTGCTGACCTTAAAAGTACATGTGTCCACCTTGTCTTTTAAGTGCTGTGACCTGGCCTCTGATAATCTGGAAATCTTATCCTCACATAATAAGGGAGCTTATCTTAATGGTGGTATCCTCCATGGCTACACCTGGCCTACAAAAGACAGCAATAGCAAATCTTATTTTTCAGCAAAACTGCAAGTGCATCTCTCACTAACACATTCCTCAGTGCCTTAGTGCAGGAAGTGCCTTCTTGGCCTCTTCGTGGAATAGATTTGAGTATTAAGCTTGCAGGTCATACACAATAAATCCACTCTGACATTGTCATTATTCCAAAACTTTTGGAGTCCTTTATCCACATTTTGCCAGGAAAACTGTGGCATCTGAACATCATTAAATGTAGGCCATCATTGAGTCTAAATTTCAGCCAACTGAGTAAACTATTAGAGCTGCCACCAGCTGCAAAAGCTAATATATTACATCTGGTATCTGATGCAAATGCACCTATACTAGTGAGTTCTGCCTAATTTAGTGTTATATTTTTCCCTTTTTTTTGTCTAACACTCTTAGAAATCTCTCCCCCACGTTTCTAAAGTTTACATTGGTTATATATTAGCAGAGACTTCCAAATCTTTTTTTTAATTATCATTATTTTTAGACAGAGTCTTGCTCTGTTGCCAGGCTGGAGTGCAGTGGGGCAAGCTCAGCTCACTGCAACCTCTGCCTCTTGGGTTCAGGCAATTCTTCTGCCTCAGCCTCCCAAGCAGCTGTGACTACAAGCGCCCACCACCATGCCCAGCTAATTTTTGTATTTTTAGTAGACATGGGGTTTCACCATGTTGGCCAGGATGGTCTCAATCTCTTGACCTCGTGATCCGCCCACCTTGGCCTCCCAAAGTGCTGGGATTACAGGTGTGAGCCACCGTGCCTGGCCAATACTTCCAATTATTTTGGTGTGTATGAGATGTCCTCCTAGGTTATAATGTGTACCTATCACCAGAGCATGCTAAAATTTCACCCTAGCTATGTATTTAGTAGCCACAGTGAGCGGCTTTAATAGGTTAACATGAGCAGCCCCTTCAAGGCGCCTTTCCCAGATGAGCTAATCACAAAATTTCAAGCACAAAAAGACTAGTTTCCTCAGCTATAGGAGAGCAAACTAGTTCTCCTGCAAAGGAGTCTCAGAATAACTTGGGGGTTCAAGATTGACAGTTTCACCTGGATTCAATTATATGTCTTAATTCTAAGTATCAGTATTCCATTCCTCCCTATTCAGTGCCCCCTCCCATGAGAAACTTTGCAACACTGAATTTAACAGATCTCAGAATTTAGCAACCTACACAAGTAAATTGAGATTTTGAGCAAAATCTCAGTAAAATGTCAGACTCTTCTCGATCCCATAGTAAAAGAGGAATAACAAGTTCTAAAGAAAAGAGGGGCTGGTCACTATTGTTAATATTTATTACTTACCATGTGTCATGGGCTTTGCTAAGTAATTCAAAGGCACCTTTTGGTGCCGTTCACTCACTTATTTCCTTTCGTGGCACTCAGAATAAACCCCAAATCTCTGTTAAGGCCTTCTGGGTCCTAAATGGTCTGCACTCCTGCTGACCTCTCAGTTTGATGAGGAAGTTTCAGCCACACCTATCTTCTTTCCACTCCTCTCAGCTTACATGTCACCTCCTCCAAACTGCTTTTCTAATGTAGCTCACTCCCCCACTTCATTACTTTCCACATCAAGACCGTGCTTCTATATATTATTTATCACTATATTATTTTACTTATTGTATGCTTTTTTATTGCATGTTTAGTATTTTTATTTATGTTTATTTACTGCGTACTTATTATTTTTACTCCATGAGACTGTAACCTCAACTCAGGCATAGACCATCTATGGTTTGTTCACATTGCAGTGCACCAGAGAAAGACCTTAAGAAGCATATGTAGAATTCTCACACCTCTAGAAGTTGGCCTACATTATTTCCTACTGCTTTTTAAATAGGCAAACGAAAGCTTGGAGAGCCACGTTAACGTATTCCAGGTCTGTCACAATCAACTGGTAGCCACAGTCTGTGGATCTTCAAGCTGGAGTTCGTCACCTCCTAGGATAACTCCGTAGGAGGAAGTGAAGCTCATTACAATTCCCTGCTGTCCTCCAACCATAGGGGCAGCAGGGTCTGTACCCAGAGGAAACAAAGAGCATCACAAACTGGTCTCTGCTTACCATGTTGATAACGTGCCCAGTCCCCACCTTGCCTGGGACCAGAACTCCAAGCAACAGCACCAGCCGCGCACCCGCGGAGCTGCCAGGTAGCACCCGCCCCCTCTCTCTGCGCAGGCGCGCTCCTCCTGCTTCCGCTGGGGGCGGGGCTGGGCTCCCGGGGCCGGTAGGCGGCAGCTGCTGCTTCCGACCCCCGGCAGGCGCCGGTATGGAGCTTGGGGGTCACTGGCACATGAGCTCGGCCCCCAGACTGGTCTCGGAGATCGCAGAGCCGCAACAGGAGCGGAAGACAGGAACCGAGGCGGGGGCTGCCGACTCCGGTGCGGTCCGAACCCGCCGCTTCCTGCTGTGTCTCTACTTGGTAGGCTTCTTGGTGAGTGCGAGCGTGGAGCTGGGACCAAGTGCTGACTGTGTTCGGGCCTCGGGACCCAGGCGGTTCTTGGAGCTCCCGGGGAGCTCCCAGGGATTGGGAACCCGCAGTTCGCCTGGCGAGTGCCTCACTACCTATCAAGCTCCACTCATGCCGCATCACCCACTTCAGTCTGCGTCTGGTCACACTGCTTTATTGCCGCTCCCGCGTTCGCTTGCTCCCCGTTCGCGGAGCCTCTTCCCTTCCCTGCCTTTAAAGAAGCCCTGGTACCAGCCTCAGGTGTGACCAGGTGTTAAATGCTGTGGCAGGTGCAGCTTTTGCAGGGCGGAGAACAGGGGCTTGGGCAAGCTTGGAAAAGCCCAGCTGCTGCGCGGCTGCTGGTGAGGTAGGGACACGCAAACCTTTTTACCACAACGGGCAGGGGAGGCCGCTGTTGATGACCCCGCTTGGACAGATTTAGGCACATTTTCACTAGGGTTCTTGGTTGACTTGAATATTAAAAAACGCAGATCAGAGTGAATTTTACCGATCTGCCTTTCGACAAACTGCGCATTGCACAGCATAGGTTTGGTTTCATCGTGACGTGTGTGCGTGTGGTTTGCTTTTTTACCAGAACAGGCTGGGGAAGCCGCTGTTGATGACCCCACTTGTACAGAATTGGGTGCATTTTCACTAGAGCTCTTGGTTGACTTGAATGTTTAAACACGCAAATCAGAGTGAATTGTATCCATCTACCTTTGGACAGTAGGTGTGCATTGCACAATGTAGGTTTGGTTTCATCATGGTGTGTGTGTGTGTGTGTGCACGCGTGTCCACGCGTGTCCTGGTTTGCTCCCTGAGTGCTAATTTCCCACGTAGAATGGAAAGTTTAGTAAGCTGATTCATGGCATTTCTGAACACCTGGCATGTGGTAGGTGCTGTGGAGCTCCACTGTTGTAACCCACAGTTCTGCCACCGAAGAATTTAGTCTTACAAGTAAGCTGATGTTGGTAGTTTCTGGGCCATTATCTGCAAGAACCCTAGATCCACCTCTGCACTCCTCCCTTTCCAAGGCTAGGCCTAATTCAGTAACCCTGGGTGTGAGCTAATCCAGTATCTTGAGGACAAGGGAGCTGAGATAAGTGTCAATGGGAGAAGGCTACCTTTGAGGCCTTGAAGATAGTATCTGATGGCACTGGGCCCTGGCGAGGAGGAGTCGTTTTCTGCCCAGATGCAGGTCAAGACCACCACTTCTCCCAGTCTCATGCACTCTCCATGCCCCCACCTCCATGCAACGTGTTCAACCGTTGGTAACAACTGTATGTTGATAATAGTTAATGTTAATAGTTAAGACCATCATGAAAGCATGTTCACCAAATTGCTGCAAGCCCAGAAGCACAAGGCCTTCAGGGAGGGTGGCTTTTTAGAGAGGATTTCTCTGCCTCTAGGGCCATTGCAGGACCCACCCTCCAGCTCCTTGCCTTTAACTTCAGAGACTGGCACTCCTTCTGTCCACTATCCTTGAATCTATTAGTTCATTCTCGGTATGGGGATGCTTAATTCCACTTTTCAGTCTAGGCACCTAGAATTCACAACCAGTGAGTATGGGTGGTTCTTGGAGAGGAGTTGGCTGACATCCAGCCTTTTTAGATATGGGTCCCAAGCTACTGCTGTCCTATCTCAGAAGGGACTTGGGCTGGTTCAGCCAGATGAAGACATTCGAGCCCTTACCTGGGAAGTCCAGACTAGGGTTCAGAGAATTTGGAAATGAAAGTGACTTAGAATTCAAAATGGTTTTAGTATTAGAATAAAAAAAGCAATTCACAGATCATCTGTTAAGGTCCACTTTCCAATACAGATTTGAATATTCACAATTTCTCATATGTTTTCTTTATGCTGTGCACTTGGCAAGTCTAATCTAGCAAACCTGATACAGAATTTTAATAACTTTAATAATGTATTCAAGAGAAGCATTAGGTGTCTCATATCTTACGGGAAAAGTTTATGGTTTCCCAAAAGTTGAGAGAGTAGGGATTTTTTTAATGGAAAATATTATAAACAATTAAAATATATGAAGCTTTATATGAAAGTCAAGTAAAGCTACCTAATAGGTGACTGTTAGGTAACATCTAAGGAATATTATACATAATTTAGGTGGTTTTTTTTGACATATTTAGGGATGTAGAGACCTAAGATTCTTGGACAAATGGTTTCTGAATGGGAAAGGAAGGGAACAAGATTAGAGAAGTCATTTGCCAAATTGTTCTGTTTTAGCAGTGTGTGTCCTTCCAGGCTTTAATTTGTTTAGGAGGGAAGACCAAGATGACCCTTGAGGCCCATTTTGTTTAGGATGCTTAGATGGTGATGAGATCTATTATTTCAACCACTTTTTTTCCTCCAGATACTTGGTGAGATTTGTTTTCCATCCCATCAGCTTCATTCAGGTGATAATTCATTTTTGTTGAGATAGTCCAATCATCAATAATTACTGGGGTTCCTACCCTGAAAAGAGTCCTGAAACTTTTGAGTGTACATATTCATCAATTTTTATTGAAAAATGTTGATGTTCAGTGAAAGTTTAAGCGGCCCCTTCTGACATGATCTTTTTGTGAAGTGGTTACATGCACATGACCAGCTGCCAAATGCAGTGATTTTGAAGAAGCTATGGATTCAGAGGCAGAAAGGAGTGGCCTTTTATAGTAAAGGAGAAGACAATTTTAGAACAGAACTTCCTGAGAGGAAAGATTCAGTGGGAGGTCTCCTTGGAAGAATATAGTATTTTTCAGACTTACCACGTGCTAAAGTAATACCAATTATTAGTTATTGCTTTTGTGTCTGTATTTTCATACTTACCTTCCATAGATCTCAGCCTCCTGACCTAAATATTTCTCTCCATCTCTTATTTAGGATAACCATTTTATTAAATGATATGTTGTACTGGGACTTTTTTTTTTTTTTTTGGAAAAAAAATGTTATTGGACAATCAAGTTTCCTTTTCTGAAAGATCCAGAAGATTCAGGCTGCTACATTTTGAGTCTTTTAAATGTATAAACATCAGTGGGCTGATGAGGTGCAACTGACAGCAAAGCCCAAAAGAAACTGGCTCAGACCCAAAGGAAATTTTAAGTAATCACAATATTGAAATAATAAACCATCACTCTGGTAATGTAATTTTAAGAGCTAATTACAGTCACTTGATATTAGATAACAGGGTCATCTAAAGATGTAACTGTGGAAAAGGCCCACTGAAAAGAGTATGTGGAAATTTATGTATCTATAGTTATATGAATGCACAGCTACCAGGACAGGAAAGGGGGAACAAAAGATTAACTCTGAGCTCAAGGAAAATACACATTTCATGTGAGTTCTTTCTTTCCAACTAACCAGGTTTACGAAAGAAGGAATTCAGGTCAAGTATAATGAAAACTGTGTGTGTGCAATGTTTTTTCTCGCACTAAACCAACTGTAGCAGGTAACCTAGTGAAGTGAGAATAAGAACAAAATTAAAGGAAAAGTTAATAGTCTGTCTATTAACTCAGAATACCTAGCAAAAAGGACCTGTACTTATCACCAGAACTGAAGAAGGCAGAAGACGTGTTTGAGCTTACATTGTTTTATCAGGCCTTTCTCAAGCATTATGCCACTTAATGCTCATCATACTTCTACCAGGCAGGTATTACTGTTCTACCCTTTGCAGATGACAACACAGAAGCTTGATAACTTTAAGTAACTTTCCAAAGACAGATGTTTAGTAAGTGATGGAGCTGGAATTGGAAACTGTCTGCCTGACCCCAAAGCCCATTCACTTTCTGTGACTTAGCTGCAAAACGTTGGCCTTTCCCCAGTGCACCAGCTTTTTCCTTCCTGCTTTACTGAGCCTTTCTTCTCAGGTATTCTTTTATAAGCTTATAAACCACAGGTCCTAGGACATTAGCCACTTTCACCAACTCCAGAACAAAACATATTTTTAAGGAAGTATTAGTTCACCAATAAATACAAATTATGACTGCATTTTTTCTTATGACTTATCCACAGAAAATATGGGTTTTGTTTTTTTTTTTTATCTGTTTTGTTTGAGGAACTTCTGTAGCATATCCTCCTCGATTGTAAAGTTAAAATGGATCCCAGGTCAGACTAATCCAGGCATTTGCAAGTGGCAGCGGATTTGTATGGCATGCTATGGTATCCAATTATGATTTCTTAAAAATTTTAGATACTGGTTTTAATTTTTAAATTAGTTTAAAATTTTAGGTTTCCTAGTTTGAAAAATACTAATTTGAGTCCATCAGCATTTATTTTGTTTTAGGATTTGTTTGGTGTCAGCATGGTTGTGCCTGTATTGAGCCTTCATGTCAAGTCCCTTGGAGCAAGTCCAACCGTTGCTGGAATAGTAGGTGAGTGGTCAATACTGCTCATTTTTAGAGCACTGAATTTTAAATCCTCTGAACCAAGTACCTGAAAACAGTTCAGTCGTGTAGCCAAATTTTATCCAAAGGTAAGTGGGAAATGAGATAAAACAAATTTCCAGAATATTTTAAAATAGTACCCTATAGCAAATGCAATTCCTTTTTTTCTACACGACCTATGTTCAGAGAGATTTTGAGGTTTGAGCACTATAACCAAGTCCCATGCCACTAGTGGCAACAGGTACTTATGGAGCCTCTGCAAGGAACTGGCTGTGTGTGTAGAAGAGTAGGTATATGTGGACTCCTGCCTACAGGAACCCTTAAACTAATGTTTAAGACCAGGAAAAACATAATCTGCAGAAATTATATCCTGTGGGAAAGGGTTTGGGTGAACATTAGCCAATTAGTTGCAAGCTTCTCACACCATCACCAACACATCATAGAGACTGTAGGGTTTCTCTGCCTGTGCAGCATAAAAATTCTATGCAGAAGTCATTGATCTACCAAAAAGGCAAGAGATAGCAGGGCTTCGGACTATGCTAACTAATGAGAAATTGTTGAGACTAACAGCTCTTGATCATTCACAAGCCACACGAGCAAGTGTTTGTAGATGGTCTTGTACATAATATTTGTTAAATCGTGGTCCAAGCCATGATTTGTATTTCCCTTGACAAATGTATTTGTAATTACACTGGACCACCCAGCAGTGTGAAGTTTTTTGGGAAAAGCAGATGGGGCATGTTGCATGATAATGGGGGTAAAAGAACTCTGTAAAAAAAATGTAAGTTCTTTATAAAATTAAATCATTTTATAAAACCATTAAACGTTAGAAACATAAGAGACAATGTTAAGATTTTAAGGCTTAGTAGGATTTTTCCAGAATTTACGTTTCTATTCCCCTGAGTACTCTCTATGCTGTTTCATAAGTTGAAGCTACACAATCTCGTATGATGGAAGGACAATCATACAGCGTCCATAAGGTCACCTTTTGCCTTTGTTCTCTCTTCTGTTTACCCTCAATTTTTTGAAAACCTTTTATTAGAAATTGTATTACTTCCATTTTTCCATGTAGAAAAAAAAAGACGTGAGATAATTTAACACAAAAAGGTCTCTTATCGTAATGTTCTTCTGTTGGTTTCTGTGTAATTGTTATCACATTAATCCATTTTTGTGATAGGTCTAGCTGATTTTATTGTTACTGATATGTTTTTACAGGCTCCTCCTATGGCGTTTTGCAACTCTTTTCTAGCACGTTCGTGGTAAGTTATCTTCCATTGGGTGAAACATAATCACGTGTCTCATCCATCACAGATGTAGTAAAATTGGGGACTTGAAGTTTAGCAAAAAGTGATAGATTTGGGATGAGAACACCTTTAAATTGTAATATGTTCTTCCTATAATTCCCTACATTTTACGGGCAAAAAGAATGTAAACAAAAGTTGTTACCAATTTTAGGCCGGGCGCGGTGGCTCACGCCTGTAATCCCAGCACTCTGGAGGCCGAGGTGGGTAGATCACGAGGTCAGGAGACTGAGACCATCCTGGCTAACACGGTGAAACCCCGTCTCTACTAAAAAAAATACAAAAAAATTAGCCAGGCGTGGTGGCAGGCACCTGTAGTCCCAGCTACTCAGGAGGCGGAGGCAGGAGAATGGTGTGAACCCGGAGGTCGCACCACTGTGTTCCAGTGTGGCCAACAGAGCAAGACTCTGTCTCAAAACAAAAGTTATTATCAATTTTGTTATTTATTTCACTTCATTGACAGTAATCAAATCCATTTATATTTCTGCTATTCCATTTAAAGTTGTGTAGTTTGAACTCAGTAAAAGCTTTTGTATAAGACTTAAGTGTATAGACAGAAGGGGACATTTGGATTGGCTGATTGTATATCTGCAGCATGGAGTAGAAAGATCCAGAGGTGGCCAGGCATGGTGGCCGGCACCTGCAGTCCCAGCTACTCGGGGATCGCTTGAGCCCAGGAATTCAAGTCTAGCCTGGGCAACATAGTAATACCCTGTTTCTAAGAAATAAGAAAGAAACACAGATTCAGTGGTGACCTTGTCACTGCCCTACTTCTGACCACTCAGTTGTTTGAATTTCAGAGACCTTACCTGATCGTCCCCTTCCCCTCCCTGTGCAGTCTACTGTGATCACTCTGGTCTGGAGACCTCAGTGTCCAGTGGTTCAGGCAGGTCAGTAGAATAGCCTGTTTAGTCTCACAATTGTTCAGTAGTGACTTTGGTCTCAATAGCTGACCTGGGGGTCTCATATTTAAAGAACACAAAGTGTACTTACATTTCCCGAGAGTTGCTTCCTTGTAAAATACATTTTTAAAAGAAATTCAGTCAGATTCCATAATAAATTCTTAAATAAGTAAACAACTACTTCCTGATTTATCTTTTATTGAAGTCTTTCTTATATTAGATTTCCATAACAATAATGGTTTCAGCCTCATTTACACTTTATAGTAACCCAGCAAAGTAGTTAGGTATATTCCTTTTATATAGGAGGAAATTAAGACCAATTAAGACCCACATAGGTTAATTTGACGAAGCCACCTAATCTCAGTATGTGGACTCTAAGCCCATATTATTTTTTTTTCTAGGAGTCATCTGTCATTGCCTTAATGGTAATAAAACGGTAAATAGGTAACTAGAGTTATCAGGTTGTACAGGAGAGCAGTATACTTGCTTGCCAAGCAGAATGTCCTATTTCATGTTCTTTCTTGTGAGAGAAAAGTTTGAGTTACATCTTAGTAAACACCTTTTCTCTTTAATTGTAAACTCGCTCCCAAAAAAGCTGATGTGTGTATCTGTTAGCGCTATTAGGCCATAGCGTATGTTAATTCTTTAAATGGTTTCTTCTTCTGGACTCTGGTCTTTCTGAGATACAGACCAGGCTGACTTGCTCAATTTTTTTTGTACTCTTATCAGAGCACCTGGCAATAGTTAGCACTTTATGAATGTGAATTTTTATTGCTAACTATGACTCTGCCCTTTTTTTCAGATTTTCCTTTGTTGTTTTATGTTTGTACTTACATGGAACATTTCATATGTCTTTTAGCTGAAATTCAATGAATACCTTTCTTAGAAAGCCTTAAGATACAGAAATGCCCAGTTAAAATTTCCTTTTTAACCCATACTTTTGTAAGCACGTATTTTAATTATAAATTTTACAAAAAACATTTTAATTTTGAGAACAAATCTCTATAAAGAAAAAGTATGTTCTGTCAGATTTGTCTAATGTTTTTAAATAAATGTATTTTAATAAAAAATGATCCATTTATTAAGTACCTGTGTGTCAGGCCCTGTTTTGAGAACTTTATTTCCTCTAATCCTTATAATAACCAGCCTCAGAGGGTGGTTGTGGTTCTTTAATGACTCATTTTATATTAAGCGTATGGAAAGTATTGCGTGGAGAAGGTAATCTCTGAGGCAGATATTATTATTCTTGTTTTACAGGTAGAGAGACTGAGGCATAGAGAGGTTAGCTCCTGTGTCCGAGGTCATGGTGGAAGGAATGATGAGTTCAGCGTTGAGCCCAGGCAGCCAGGCTCGGGGTCCAGGGTGTAACTCCCAGATTATCCCACTGCCCTGTGAATACAAGGAGGCTGGTGACCCCTTCCCCAGTTCAAAGGAGTGTGGGGAATTTCTAAGATTCATTGAAATGAAAATTGGGGATTAGGATTGAAGACACCTGTAGGAGGATGACAGTATTTTGGAAGATTTACCTTAAAAATATTTTATAGAGGAAGTTTACATCCTTATGTGAAGGGATCTTTCGGGTCCTTAAGAAAAAGATAAACATATCAATAAAAATGGGGAGAGGGCATGAACAGGTACACTTGGCAGTTAGCATGGAGGAGTGGCCTGCTGAGATTCCTTCCACGGTTAGTGGAGAGGGTGAGGAATGGTTGTGGAACATCGCTGAGGAAGGAGGGACGCAGGAGCCAGCCTCAGTCGCCTCCCAGCCGGGACTAATGGAGACCAGCCCATTGTACTGGAACTGGGGGTCATCCAGGGTTTCATACAGCTGGAGGGACCCTGTTCTTAACCCTTTTACACCGTGCTCCATTGATAGTATACTGTTTGGTAATTGTTGTTTTAAGGCAGTGACTTTTTTTTTCAAACACAGCTTCACTCAGAACGTCAGTATGTGAAATGGCAGGCGTCCTCCTGGGCCACCGCTGTGGCCTTGCTCAGCATCCTTACTTGCATAAAGTGTTCAGAAGGGAGCTCTGCCGGGCAAGTTTCTGAGGCTTCCCAAATGTGGGAATTCTAAGGAGCAGAAATGCTGCCTTATGTGCTTCTCTCGAGAGGAAATGCGAATAGTACACAACCTTTTAAAAAATTATCAAGAAAATAGGCAAACATAATTTTAAAAGATGCTGCTTAACCAATCTGTAGATTTTAAACATTGACAGTAACAGTGCTGGTTGAAATAAGGGGGATTGGAGACTGTTACTGTTCTAATTACAGTATATATGGGATTACAAATCTTTCCAGAGAGTAATTGGTCAGTATATGGCAAATGCCTAAAAAAAATGCTTGCATAGAATTGGAGCAACTCTAATTCTAGGGATTTGTTCCAAGGGAATTTTTAAGGGTATCTGTGGAGAGTTTGCTATGAAGATGCTTATTGTAGCATTATTTATATTTTTGACAAATTTTTAAAGAGCAAAAATCTAACAAAACAGTTTGTTAAATAAATATTGGTATGTAGTGGAATAAGGAATATAATTAGAATGGTAACAAAGGCAAAGTTTTAATAACATGGAATGATGCTTAAGTCATATTAAGTGAAAAAGCACGTTACAAAATAGAGCATATTGTATGACCATTTTGTTAAAATATAGGTGCATTTGGGATTATGAGGTATTTTTATATTCTTCATTTTGTTTTTCAGTATTTTCTAAATTTTTAAAAAATGTACATGGTATCTGAAGAGTATGGTTGTGTAAAGTAATGAGAGTGAAGAGAATGAGGCTTTATAAATTATACTTCATCATCTCTCCTGCCTTTCTTAGCTACCAGATCATCAGACTTTTTTGTTTGTTTGTTTTTGGACAAAGAAAAATACGTTGTGTTTTTCCATTCACTGTGTGTGAAGATCAGAGAAAATAACTTACTCTGACAAATGGCATCATGGAACTGAGCATTTGAGGATCTGACACTGCATCTTCTAATGGTTTCCCCTGGTCACTTTGTTTTGGTCATTTGCGTGGTAGTAGTTGTTACTGCGGATGGGGTCAAAGGGCTTTTTCTTGCTTTCCTCAGGGCTGCTGGAGCGATGTGGTGGGAAAACGGTCTTCCTTGCTGACTTGCATTCTACTCAGTGCCCTGGGCTATCTCCTTCTCGGAGCAGCCACCAACATGTTCCTGTTTGTCCTGGCTAGAGTCCCGGCAGGTGAGTGACTTTTTTTTTTGTTTTTTTTCCCCCCCAAACATAGCTTCCTCCAGAACCTCAATATGTGAAATGGCAGGCTTCCTCCTGGGCCGCCTCTGTGGTCATGCTCAACATCCTTCCTTGCATAAAGAGTGTTCAGAAGGGAGCTGTGCCTGGCAAGTCTTTGAGGCTTCCCAAATGTGGGAATTCTAAGAGGCAGAAACGCTGGCCGTGTGTGTGTGTGTGTGTGTGTGTGTCTGTCTGTCTGTCTGTCTGTCTGTCTGTCTGTCTAAAGCCTGTTCCTGCTGGACATTGCCTCTTTGATTAGCACTTACATAAAGTGCTCATTACAATGGCAATTGTGGCTATAAGTGACACCAGCAGCTGCTGGCCGTTGAACATTTAGCACGGACCAGGCACTCCGCTATCTTGACCAAACCTGGAGTTGTACTTGACGGAGCCCCTTGCCCCTCAGAGCCTGTCAGCGTGGATGATCACACTGCTGTACTGGGACTTGTCTCCTTCCTGTTGATCTTGCTTTACATCAAGTCAGTAAGAATTTGTGAAGTGTCTTTGGCCAGCACTGAGTGTCCCGCTCTCTCCCTTGGTGAGCCTGTAGTTTTGTAACTGGGCTTCCTCACATCAAATTGGGATTCACCTCTTTAGCTTTCCTGTGGCCTTCTTCTGTCTGACTGTCAGTTAGGGGGGACACTGGGATTATGATACAGCAGCTCGTGGGTGAGTTTGCTACTTCTAGACTGGTCTGGGCTGTTTTTAACATTTCGAACTAGCTTTTATTTTGTCCATTTTTTGAAACACCTCCTGTGAATGCCGAGTAGTGCTTGGTGGGTAGATTATTCCCGTAGAAGCTCTTTGTTCTCTCTTTGCCATTCTTAGCAATTAGAGGAGTTTCAGTGTCTCTCTTACTGTACCTATCAGAGCACTGGCAGGCTTTGCTACCCTGCTCGACAAGTCGGGGCACTGGGCACCATCCCGAGTTTTGTTAAACTGCTCGCTTTTAATTGACTCCCCAAATAAATAGAGCATCAGATAACTCATTTTAACATAGACGTGATGATCAGCTGGCTCACCTGGGATTTCCACACCGTTTCTGTGGAATATATACTTTTTTCATGTACTCTGCAAGTCTGCAGAGTTCAGCCTCCAAAGTTCTTAACCATGCCTTTTTGTTGACTAGATAAATGCTTTATGAAGGTCTTTGCTTGAATGTGGTCAGTTGTCTTTACAAACCCCAGTACCACACACAAAATCCAAGTGATAGCCATTGTACGTGCATCTGGTGTTGAGTTTATTGTTCTTGGT